GCTGTTGTTTTTTACGTTTTATTTCGCTTAAATAAAAACAGTCAACTCGTTGGCTTTTGTTGCAATTGTTATAAATATAGATATATATATATATATATATATAGTTGTGGGTGTTACTCCGCTCTCTTCCCTGTTTCCTTGCTTGTATCTTTTCTTCTGTCAGTCCTCACACGTCCTTCGTGGTGGTGGTGAGGAGCTAAAGCGGCAGCTTCTAGCCGGGCCAACACACACACACACACACTCACACAGGCAGCCCCACACTCAAAGGAACGGCAATACGCACTGATGTAGATGTGACGTACACAGCCGCCTCTTCCCGTGAGAGTCGTTATTTATATTTGTGTGTGTGTGCTGATATCCCCCTGTCTCTCCCCCTCTCTGTCTGTCTGACGTGTCGCTCTGATGAAGTGTCCAGCGGGGAGAAGAGTATACCTGTCACCACAGCACGGGCACATACACAGAGAGATGGATAGAGAGAGTGTGAGATGTGGCCGCAGTCACCATACATTCTGACCCAGCACCCCCACGCACGCAGCGAGGCATGTCGGAGCACACACCAATGCAAAGACGCACACACTCGCACAGCACGGCAACACCACACCATCGCCTGCCACCCAGAGTGATCGCATCAGCGCCCCTGGTAGAAGTGCAGAGCAAACACACACAACAACAAAATAATAATAATAAAACAAACAAACGTAAAAATAAGGAATCACACACACATACACACTATAATATATACATATATATATATATTATAGGTAGAAGGAAAGACGTCATGTATCCCTGGCCTCCTCCACTCGTATCTCCTGTAGGATCTTCTTCACCACCCGTTCCGCTTCCTCTTCGGCAGCCTCAATAAGACGGCGCTCCCTTTGCTGTTGACTCACTGTGTTGTCTACTTCACGCCGCTTGGCCAAGTCCGTTAGCTTCACTGTGGCACGGCGCTGTACGGCGGCACGGATCCCCGCGTCCCCCAAAAGTTCATATACCGCCTCTGTCACTGCGGTTGTGGCATCCTGGTAGCGTTGTTTATAGTTTTGGTGTTTCCCAGCTGTTTTAATGTCGGATTCAAGGAGCTCTGTGCTGGTGGTTGACACTGCATGTGCGAGCAACTCGAGTGCCTTTGTATGTATGTGAAAAAAATTTGTATTTGTCTCCTCTTGCTCATTCTGTGGGGTCCCCTTTCGAACATTATGCCTCCCATCCTCGTCAGATGCCCCCAAACGCTCAGGCGCAACTAGTGAGAAAAGTGGAACCCGTGTCGGGAGCAGCGCGTTGGGGTCGATGTGTATGTCGTCCTCACTGGAAAACGCCCGGTAGCCGTCAGATCGGGCAACGACACCCTCACGAATGGAGGCTGTGAGTGCCTCTACAACGGTCCACATCTTCTCCTTTGTCACCCAATACTCTAGCCTAAACACAGGCTTCTCGCGCTGCTTGGCATCTAATGCCTCAAATGGCAAGCAGTGAGCAGCGTTTCGTGCAAGTGGCTCCGCTTCGCGTGATCCCTCGTATTGAATCCACACAGCTGCGCCACCTTTCGTCCCCGCACACTCTCCAGCAAAGCGGGTTTCAAGGGTCTGCATGCAGACTAATAACAAGTCAAGCTGCAGGACCCATGCAAAGTGGGCACTTACAGGTGGAAAGCAGCTGCTTGTAGACCGCGTGGACGCGGCCACATGCGACCACACGTACTTTTGTAGCCCCTGAAAGACGCTGTTGTACAAAGACTCCGAGGCATCAGCGTCCCCCGGGGCAAATGCCTGCATTTCACCATCAAAAACAGAAAAAGGAGATACTGCCTTCTGGAGAGATCGACGGGATTTGTGTGGCTTTAACGGAGTTGCCGATTTAAAGTTGTCCATGTCCACAACCTCAAAGGATGGGTGAATGGCCCTCCTTTCTTTGTTTTCCTCAAACGGCTGCTTCGCGTCCCTCTGCATCAACTCCATAACGAGGCACATGATGGCGTCCTCCACCGCAGCCTCATTCAGCTGCAGAGCCGCCTTTTTATTCGCGTCCTGCGCGTCGTCGACAGGATTCGGCCTCGGCAAGTACGGACGCCGGCCGTTTGCTTGACGCACCCGCATTGTTGCTGCATCGCCCACACCGTGCTGTCGCCGAAAGCTCGATAGCTGCTCCGTGTCTTTCGTGGTGTAAGAGGCCTTTGCGTCGGCAAGCGGGTCAGACGAGGACGAAGCGACGTGTCCACGCAAAAGCGCAAAGGCGCGGACCAAACGTTCCACCGCCTCTGATGTCTCGCGAAGCTCCACAATTTTAGGATTCTGCCGCGGGTCGCTTAACGGAAGTGGGGGCGGCAGACTGGTGAGCGCACCCTCCAACCGAAGCGAGCTGAGCAGTGGGCCTTGGGGCCCCTTCGACAGCAACATGGGCGGAACTGAGGACGCAGACTGTGTCTGTGAGTCGCTGGCTTGCGGTGATAGCAACGGCAGCATGGCGAGGGCAGCACCACTGGCGCCGCCAACTTTCCCTCCCATCACATCAGAAGGAGGAGGAGGAGCGGCGGCGGCCATTACAGCTTCCTTCAACTGTGCAGCGGGACGGGGTTCCTCTTCCTGTGTTTTCTCCACGGCAAGATGCTGCGATAGTGTGCTGAATACACTGCTCTCCAGCCATGAAGAGGGGCCATCCGCCTCAGCCAGCACGGGCCCAGCAGAGGCTAGAGTTTTGGTCGGCAAAGAATCCTCCACCGCCCCAATAGCAACGCTGCCGCGTGAGCTTTTTTTGGTACTGTTGACTGAGAGCGAGGTGGCATCCATTGACATTGGCGGGGTAGGACCAAATGCAACGTATGATGCTAGTGCCTTAAACTCTTCCGTGTTGGATGCGTTGAGTCCACCCAACTTCCTCTCAATGTTGGACTGCGTCGTGTCATCAGACATCGCTTCCATTCCCTGCCCTGCCGCATTGTCCATGACGGTGTCGCTTAACTCAAGCTTCGGAAAGAGGTTGATTGAAGCAACGCGTGCTGCTGCATTGCGCAGCAGGGCAGACGGGGCACCAGCAGTGGTCCCGTCATCCTCCGTTGATGCATTAAACGCAGTTAAAGTGGAAGTCGCCGCGTCCGGGCACGACACCAACGTGTCGTCCAGCCCCTGCTGCTGGTGCATCGTCTGCTCCGCCTGCGCCTGCTGCACGGGCACCGGAACCGGCACGAGAGAAACAGAGGGAGACGACTGAGGCCAAACCGTGTCGGGTTTACTCCTGAGAGTCGTTTGCAGCGGCGACGGCGACAGCTGCGAGGAAGTTGTGTCGCTGCCCTCGAAAGAGTCCCCGTAGGCGCTCATGTCTCCTGTCCAGCTACACTCAATAAGAGCGGGAGAAAGCAACCAAAAAAAAAGGGGGGGGAAAATACGCATACACGACGCACGCGTACCGGAATGGTGAAGCACAATCCACCACAGCGCCGGCACGCAGAGGGAATACAAGAGAGAGAAGCTCACCTGAAATGTTCTTGCCCCTTCTCAGCGCCGTTCGTTTCCACCTTCACTTATCGTGAATCATGGCCTCCACAACTTACTTGATCACACGCGTTGCTGCCGCCAACGCCATCACTTTTGCGAGAAACTCGTCCGCCACAGTGACCAGTAGCATGCCCTCTCGTGTTGCCCGCTTCACCTCACTTACCCAGAAGCTGTTCGGCGGAGGTGGCAGAATACTCATCCCATTCTCCTCATCCTCCACCATGACCGTCAGCGACTCGATGCTGCAGGTGCCGTACACCTCGCAGTACGCCGCCCAATACTGCACTGACCGCAGACGCAGCACCTCCTCAGACTCTATCGTCTCCTGGCGGGCACGCTCAGCCTCACTCTTCAAGTTGGACATCGTGTTTTTATCCTCCTCGTCGTCGTCGGAGTAGCACGAGCTAAATGATGAAGACGTGCCGGACTCGGTGGAGGCACTGGAATAAGAAGCGGAGGGTGACTGTCGCCGTCGCTTCCTCGCGCAGGCGCGGCGGGCCACAGAAGCAATGCTAACAGACGTGGATGAGCCTGACGCATTACTGTCATTGTCATCTGCTTCCCGGCATCTTCGGCGGAGGCTTCTGCTACGGCTACGCCGTTCACTGCAGTCACTGCTCCCGCTGGGGGTTGCGTACTCCACCATAAAAGCATCCAGCGAAGCCCGGGTGAGGGGATTCGCCAGCAGCCGCTCGGCGTAAATAAGCTTCACAAGTCCGTCGCAGGTGAAACGCAGCATAGACGTCTCTTGGCTTCGCGTGCAACCGAGGAGGAGGTCCTTGGCGTAGGCACCGCCACCGGCAAAGTTCCTCGCGAGGGACTGCAGCGCCAGCACCAACAGCATCTCAGGCATTACCATCGCCTGTACCGTGGAGACCCCCGCCGCCGCCGTCCTGAACCAGTCCAGCACCTGCTCCCGAACATGGCTCCGCAGCATGGCCGACCACACGCGACTCGAATCCACCGCCAAGAGACGCTTCAGCGCTGTCGTGTCCGTCGCGCCGGACTGTAGGCGCAAGAGCGACACCGTCGTCTCCGGCAGCCCCGACAGCAACACGTCGATCCCGATCCCTACCGCATCGGAAGTGAAGTCGCCAGACACCTGCAACATGCGTGCGTGCCGAAGCTGGCGAAGAACTTGAAGGACATCACGGCACGCACTGGGAATAAACGCCGTCGTGAAACTACGGGAGACGGAGAAAGCGTCAAGTAGCCCAGAAACCACGGAGAACTGATGAAGAGCGCATGCGTGACGCGTGTCGGTGTGCGTCTGAAGCTCGAACTCCGCATTGTAGTGGCAGCGGCCACACTTTAGTACGGCGTTCGGTGGCGTCCGATCCAACAGCCCATCTGGGCAGCGTTTACAGTGGTACAAATCGCGGCGTCCACGGATGGCACGAAGACCGAGATACTTCGCCGCCTCCTTCACAGAGAGGAGCCCGCTCGTGCGCTCCCGTGCAGTTCTGTATGCCCGCTCTGTGAGACGCTGCCTCGCCTCCATATTGGCAGGAACTTCTGGAAGTTCCATCCCCTCACACGGCAACCACACATCCTCGACGCAGCGTGCTACAGCCTTCTCTGCATCCACTGCCAATTGCTTAGTTGATTCCTCGCCGCCGTCATGCCAATCTGAAGAGCTGAATAGGCGGCATAACGCCTGTAGCATCCCCCTTGACGCCTGGCTCCCATGCAAGGCCAGCGACACGCCCAGGAGAGTGCAGTGTGCCACAAACGGTCGCACAAACCCCATCTCTGTCAACGTGTAGGTGACCTCCACCGGCGCCATACGGGAGAACAGAGTACAAGGACGAAAACGCAGCCACTCCAAAAGTGAATCTCCTGCCACATTATCGTCATTCAACCTGCTGCTGAGGACGGTACGCAACTTGGCGTAGGATGGTTTATTCAAGATGGTTCGCATCACCTCATCCACGCCACGGTGAAATAATATGGCCAACACCTCCGCCAATCCCTCTGCTGGCTCATCAACACCGAGCACTGCCGCAAAGAGACCGCAAAGCAGCTTCTCACCCTTGGCTGCATCCATCACCTCCTTGTCAGCCGAAGAGTCATCCGACTGCCGCTGCACGGCCCGCACCAGGTGTGCTGCGCCGTCACAAAGGCAGTTGCGTAGTGCCGCCTCACACCGCTGTAGTGGTAAAGGCGTCACGTCCTCTAATAAGAAATCTTTCGCCGTTGGCGCGTTCCAGCACAACAGGAAGACCGGGCACCGGCCTCTGTGTCGCAAACCGTTTCCCCATTTCCCGAATCACATCGTCCGTATTGTCACGCAGCAAGAAGGAATGCTCAGAGATGGAACGTATCCACGCAAATGTTCCGTCCGGTGCCGTGAGTGCGAGTGCCGGGGAGTGGCGGGAGGCGTACTCGCGCCAGCGTTCTTGTACCGCCTCATTATTTGGAAGCGGAGTGCGCTTTTCGTCACTGCCATCGCCGCGCTCAAAGTCAATCGGCAACCTACAGGGATACATAAAGTAGTTTTCCTTCATGTGACGCTCATACCTTGTGGGGTCCGCCACGTCTACAATCTTCTTGTGGAGCCATGCCTTGCTGAGGGCGTAGAAGAAGACAACATGCTCAAAGGTTCCGTCGGTGGCAATGCGGTAGATGGTTACGGGCCGCTGTTGACCGTAGCGATAAAGGCGGTAGGTTGCCTGCGTGTCATCGGCCGGGTTCCAACTCACGTCAAACAAAATGCAGTGGTTCGCGGCAACCAAATTAATGCCCACACCACTGGCCCTTGTGGAGCACAGCAGGACAAAACGAGATGCGTCTTCTGTGAAGCGTTCAATGATGCGTTGACGCTCCCTTACCTCCAGCCCTCCATGCATCACGTCCGCCAGCATTCCCCGCTGCCACAGCAGCCGCTGCAAGAGGAACAAGTGGCTCCTGTACGTGGAGAAGAGCACCACCTTCTCGTGCAGCTCCTCGCTGATGTGCCACAGCAGCGAAAGCGTCAAGACAAGCTTCGGCGACTCCGCCACATTAAGGTGCTCCAGGGCCACCTCAAGGTCCGCGTCGTCAAAATCTTCTGAAGGCATCTCATCCGAGGAGATGGAGGAGAAATTACTCCCTTCCTCACCGCCTTCAAGCTCCCCCGGGTTGCTGTTCAGCACCGTACTTGACACGGGCCCGTCGTACGAAGCGCGCATCACCTCTCGCGCCCGCTGCTGCGTCAAAGCAGGATGAAAGCAGACGTGTGCGGCCTCGTGGTGAAGCGGAAGAATAGCGCGGTTGGCTTCGCCCTTGGTGTAAGTCTTCAGCATCGACCGGTATGCCGCCTCCTGCTTTGGCGACAGCCCCACCAGGATGACGTACTCCCGCCGCGGTGGAAGTTCCCGCTCAAGAACCTCAGGCCCACAGTGATGCACTGTTGTCCCAAAGAAGCGACGCAGCGACGCCACACACTTCTGCATCTCCACAAACTGCTGAAACGTAGAGTCCTTGCACTGTCCTCGCTCGATGGGATTTGTAAAGAGACGACGGAAGGAGCCAGACTGCATCATGGCCCCCGTCACAACAGAGTACATGACGTTGTACTCCTCCAAGTGGTTCTGCAGCGGGGTGCCTGTAATCGCCACCCGCAGCTGCACGCCTCGCAGATGTTCCATTAGGCCTCCCACAAGTTTTGAGTTGAGGCGTTTAAGCCGATGCGACTCGTCCAAAACCACCACATCAGGGCTCTCCAGCACCTCCAGCAAAGAAATATGGCTGCTAAGGGGTAGTGGTGGTCGCAAGTAATCAAACAACGACTTGACGCGGGTGTACGCTTGCGAGCCTGCAACACCCTCTTTCGCCCGTCGAAGCAGCCCCTGGTACTCCTCGTAGCCCAGAAGAAGAATGCCACCTGTTTGATAGAACTCCAAGATGGTCTTCTCCGGCGCGCGGGAGCCCAGTAGTGCGTACACGGGCAGCACCGTGTCACCGAACAGCGTGGGGATCATCCACTCCGCCGCACTGCACTGCCATTGAAACGTGCAACTCCGCGGGGTCAGCACGATGACACGTATCGCTGGTGCCGAGGCATCGCTGACAGTGTAGCGCTGCTGAAACAGCAGAAGAAAACTCAACACGGTGACAGTCTTGCCAAGGCCCATCGAGTGGCCAATAACACAACCAAACAGTTCCTGGTAGAGATGCACCCGCTCCACCAACGGCATCGCCACACTAGCTTGTATAACGCGTTGTATACCCTCATCCACGAGTTTACTCCACATAAAATGCAGTGCGTCAACCTGATGTGGGCGAAGCACGTCGGCGAGGGGCGAAGGGACGACCAGCCCCGAGGTGAGACGCGCGTCCTTCGCGTTGATCCCGTCAGCCATCAGTGTGACGGCCCGCTGCTGCTTTCCGCCTCGTATCCTTTGTGTGTGTGTGTGTGTGTGTGGTGTCCTCTTTTCTGCCTTCTGAAGTCCCCCAGCCGCCCCTTTAGCCACGCGGCAGCAACAGAGAAAAAATACACACACAAAACAAGCACGCAAGGGACAACACCTGAAACGTCCAAAGCAAGAAAAGCACGTAAAAAAAAGGGGGGGTTGTGGCCCCCCACCTCTCACACAAGCATTTTATCTTATTGCTTTCGAGGCTTTTCCCACTTTAAAAGACTCATCCTCAAACATTTTCCGCGATCAGTACCTTCCTCGCTCACGCTGCCTGGCCCTGTTCAACGCCTCCGCCACACGATCGCCGTAGTATCGCCGAATGTAAAAAAATCCTGCCACAAGCGCCAGCACAGGGAGCAGCATAATGGTGACGCACACGCACCACGCAACAATGCCCACGAGCACATCTGATGGTCCAGAGGAGTAGGCGTAGATGTTCCACGGCGCCGTCCAAAGGGCGTAGTAAATGGCTGCAAAATGATAGAAGAAAACGTAACCAACAAGCCACTGCCAAAAGAATCCAACAATAACATCCGTGAGCGTCCCTGCTTCACCAAGGTCAAGGAGAGAGTTGTACCACGCTTGGACGTAGCTCATCTGTTGCACATCCTTCACGGCGTCCAGTATGGCATGGCGTTGCTCTTGCGCAAACCGCCGTGAGATAATGCCGTAGAGTGGCTTCACCTTGGCCAGCATCCCCTCTTCCTCCCGCTTCAGCGCAGTTAACGCCGCCATATTTTTCTCGTACTCCGCATCCAACATTTTAATGCGGGCCTTGTCATCTGCACTCGTGAAGAGCCATCCACCCCGCTGTTTCGCCTCCTTTAGGGCGAGCTGGCTCGAATACAGGGCCTGGTACGCCTTGGCCATTTCTCCGCTGCGCAGCCTGTCGATCTCCTGCTCCCAGAACACAATTTGCTCCTCCCGACTACCCTTCGCAACGCTACGGTCGTCGTACCCTGCAGCTACCCCGGTTGCCGTCTGAAGCATCCACAGCAGCAGCAGCGGCAACACTGCAATGGAAATGTAGCGCATTCCTTTCATTTCCTTTTTCAAAACAAAAAAAAATTTTTTTATCCGTGTTATATTTTCTTCACCGGGCCGTGCAGCGTATTTGTGTGACGGCCCTGGGGAACTGAGACTAATTAAACAGACAAATGCAGTAAAAGAAAACAAGCACGCACACACACAAACAACACTTAAAAAGATCGCGGTCAGATCTACAAAAAAAAAAAAAAACAGGAATACATGCATGCATATATGTCTATGGAGTGCGCATGCGGATGGGGCAAGCAAATGGGTGCAACGTTGTGAGGAGTTCCGCACAAACCAATACACACACCTACACATACGCCATTCTCACCTCTCCTCCTTCATTTTTCTCCTTCCAAACGCTCTTTTTATTACCTTCCTGTTTGGACACAACGTAGTTCGTTTTGTTTTGTTTTTTTCGTTTGGTTTCGTATATGCAAATCAAGATACCCCCGCGCGTATGTGTGCTTCCTCACCTATTAGTTCCCTGTTCGTGTGGGTGTCACCCTTCGTTGCCCTTCTTTTTTTTGTTTTTGTTCTTTTTTTGTTTTTTTTGCTTGGCGCTGCTGCCTTATTTTGGCCTCTGTTGGCTTCGGGTGGGCAGAAGCTGCACGCGTTATAATAAGTGGAGGTATACAAATGCACGTAGAGACCTCATTGGCTGCTTCTTTTTTTTTTTGCTTTAAAGCTCACCCTCACTCTCCTCCCCCATAGAGAGACACACGGCGCCAACAAATTGCAGGCAACAAAAATGGAGCGGGACGAAAACACACACACAAACAACGACCCCCCTCCCCCAACAGCCTCCTGCGGGGCGGCCTTCTCACCTCCCCGGGGCCGACATCTTTTGCCACAAGTCACGCAGGAACGTCGTGTAGCTCGGAAGCGCTTGCACCTCATCTTCCATCATCATCCGTGTCAGGGCTGGCTCAAACACGGAGTTGCCCTGCGGGCACGCCTCTAACGATGCACTAAATGCACTCCGAACACCCTCCAGCAAATGCCACACGAGGGCGTCAAAGCGACCACGCAGGGCAGCAAGCTGCTCCTCTGTGATGGGTGGCTCTGAGGAACGCGGTGCCCCCTCGCTCGGTGTGAGACCAAAGGCCTTCACAATGTGGGCGTCCGCTTTCAGCCCGTACCACAGCACCAGCGTGGAGCCAAGATGCACAAGGAAAATACCATCCGATCTAAAGTAGGTTTGTGTCGGAAAAATAGGCATGGGCAAGTTCTCAGGTGCCGCATGGGGGGAGTACACTTCGAACGACCAGCCTGTGTAGTACGGCTGTATGGCGTGTGGGGCAGTGGACATCACCATCGACATGGCAGCCACGCGTTGATCTGGGAGAATAGGAGTTGAAGTGGACAACCCCACCGCTGCGTTCCTAAAAAAGCCATGCAGCAGCAGCGGCACAAACCGCAGCGACTCCGGTAGCATGAAGTGTCCGCATCGTAAACCCAGTCCGTCGTTGTGCTTCTTCACTGCCCGCAGCGTCGCAACCAGTTTATCCATAACACGTTTTTGCGCCTGCTGAAAGGGTCCATTGACGGCGAAATCAACAGCCATTTTGCTGAGAAAGCAGGCAACCCCCAGCGAGTCCGCGGAGTTCACCACGACGCTGAGAGACGACGACACACTCAGCTGGTAGGTGTGCACACGAATGCGTCGCTCGCGTGCTCGATTTGTATGCACAATGGCGATCTGAATGTATGCAAAGCTGGCTTTCAGCTCAGGTCCAACCTGCAACTGGACAGAGTATGAAGAGTCCTCATCACCCACCGGAAGAGCAAGAAGGTCCGGCTCCCGCACGTGGCAGTGGCCGTAAAAGTTTGGCACCACCAGACCGTTGGAGGTGCGCACCCGCAGAATGGACTCAAACGCCATGTAACGTGTGAGAATGCGGCGCACCTGCTCCGGCATCCCGTTAATAGTTAGCGGCGTTGAGCGGTAAATACTGCCCGAGGTAAAGCGGGACAAGGGGGCAATAGTCGTCAAATCCACGTCCTGGGCACCGCTAACGAGCAGATCGACAGAAATGTTACTGTTCGAGCACGCCAACGCACGCTGCTTGTACCAGTCAACTGCAGCCAAGCACACAGTGTACTCCTTGGGCTGGTTGGACAACTTTGCAATGTCGAACCGTGGCTTCAGTTTTCCCTCGCCGATAGAAGGCATGGCGTCAATACTCGCAACGATTTTTCCACCGCTGTTCTCCAGCATTGAAATAGCCGCCGCCAGCGCCGGCCCAAACGCACAGCCAACGTCTTTTGTAGAGGCAAACGTATCCGGCAGTGTCTCAAAGAGGCACTTCAAGAGATGATAGGCGTCCTTTACGTGCACAACCAGTTCATTCACGGCACACGGAAGCTCAATGGGCTCAAACTTAAAGTTGTCATCCACGTTACACACATCGTGCACGACGTCAGGGGCGACGATGGTGCACGGGGACCGTAAAGTAGGCCCCAAGTTAAAGAAATACACCGTTGAGGCAAATCCAATGACGCCCATGTAAGTGGCGTCCTCATTTTTCATAGTTTCAAGTGCTGAAAGGACCCCATGGCAAATGGCACGCAGCTGCCCTGAAGCGATCGCTTGGTACGAGCAGTCCAGCATGAGCAGAAATGCAGGACGCTGCGGTGGACGACGCAGAAACTCAGATGTTGGATAAAAGTCCACAGAACAGTACGTAAGCTCTGGCCGTTGCAGCACATCCGCGCGTAGCCCTGTCTGTGGATCAAGAGCACAAAAGTATTCCTGGGATACTTCATTCAACTGTCGGCACAAAATGCATTGCCAGCGACGCCCTTGTTCACAGAATGTGGTAAATGGGTTAATGTAAGCAGAGCACCTGCGACAGCGAATCATCCTACCTCCCACTGATGAAAGATCTACTTCGGGCAAATGCGTGTCAGCAAATGGCTGAAATGTAACACCTAACGGCAGCTGTAGTGTATCCGCTAGCTGTGAGGTAGCTGGCAGACATTGAAACGTTGGTCGCATACTGATGCGACTCACAGGGACGATGTACGGAGGTGTTGGTGGCACCCGACTCATGTCTTCCGCCAAGTGTAAATGCAAAAACCTTGGAATGGAGGGATGGTCAAGAAATTTACTTTTGTCATGCGACCTGGCAAGCTGCACATCCAAGCAGATGACACTATCAGAAGGCTGTATTTGTGCATTCATCTGAGAATACAACTGCGGGTGTGGTGAACGTGGAGGGGAACGTCTACCTGTTCGCGCCTCCTGCGAAAAATCCTGTGACTGCTGCGGCTGATGTGCCGGCATGGACTGCTGTGGATAGTGGGCGTACGAGGTCTGTTGTTGCTGCTGCTGCTGTTGTTGTTGTTGTTGCTGTTGCTGTGAGTAATTGTAGTGCGCCTGCTGCTGTTCATCCATGCTTTGAGGGGCCTGGTGTGGGGCTGTCGTCCCCCACTGCTGCAGCTGCCGCGGGTCCTCAAACGCATGGTAAAGGTTTGGCGCCTTTTCCCGTGTAGCTTTTGCCCTGGCAGCTTCCGCCTGCTGTAGCGAGTGTAGATACTCTGGGGGCAGAGCGAAGTTCATATCCGCCTTGTTCGTCCTGTTTTAGGTCAATGATAAAGAAATGGACGAGGCAAGTGGTGCGTCTTGTGCGTCGGCGTCCTTCAGTAAAAGCGAGACTGAAACACTCACACACACCAGACAAGTTGCCTCCCCCACAACTACTACTACTACTGCTGATGCTGCTACCGCCGTTGTAAGCGAGGCAAATGGAGTGGGGAGAGCGGCACACACACACACACACACACGTGTGGGAGACCCCAAGAAAGAGAAGAAACAAAAAAAAAAGGAGAAAAACCGATGTTTTTATATGCACCCCTCCATACGCGTTGCCACGGCAAACGGCACAACGATGGCGCAGAATGACACGACTCAAACCACACACACAGTCCAAGGGAAGAGTGCACCCGCCACACGTCCCCTTCGGTACTACTCCCTCTTCTTCTGCCGGCGCCCGAAAGGGTCGGGGCGCTGCACATCGCGCGACGCTCGTTTCGCTTCACTCAGCGGGACACCAAGCGGCCGCGCGTGCGGTCGGTGGCGCCGCAACTCATCAAGCGTCTTGGCTTGCGATCGTAGCTGCGAGGACCGCCAGCCCATCCGACGGTAGAATGGCGCCAGCACGTACGCAAAGAAGGGGTATCGCACGTACACGCTGAGATCGTAGAAGACGACAAACAAGAAGAGTTGGCCAGCGAGGACAATCGCCCAGTGCGAGAACTCCCACATGCGCTCAAACTGATCCCCTGTGACGAAGCCTGGCAGCACTAACACGTAGTAACTCGGCGACAATACGCCCATCACCAGCAGGGCAAGGACTGGAGCCGCAAATAGGAAGGTGCAGACGTTTTTCACGATACGAAATGATGAGTGCAGCTCCCTCGTGATGGGGCCATCCACCTCAAGCGCCAAGTAATCAATCGGCCGCCGCCGCGCCAAGAAACGAATAAATCTATTGTCTGATTGCGACATCTCCCGCATCTCGTAGCGCGTCTTCATGAGCACCTCAGCGCCCAGCTTTGTGCGTCCCAGCCTACCGAAGAGAAGGCATTGTAACGAGCAACGCAGCATCTCCCCTCCCCAGACAAAAAAAGAGCGGAGATCAACATGGAAGAAAAGCGAAAGCAGACAAATACACACAAATCGAAGCTGCACATTACTTAGGCGCATATGCATACATATGTTGAGTTAAAGGTCTGCTGGAAACTCGGGGTAAGGCGTAGACATCCACAAGAAACTAAAAGTCAGCCGTAAATGTTACGACTATTACGTCCGCACAATCACCATCACTGCCATCTCCGGCGCCTGGGCGTGTGCCTCCTGCTCTGCCGCCGCCGCCTGCACCCGCCTTAGATACACTCGTTTGTATACCTGTGACTTCAACTTGCTTAAGTCAAATTGTTAACCGTCACGCAGGATTTTTAATCTCCCCCGCCACCGCCCTCCGTTGCGTGGCTTACGACTTCTACTGCTTCTTCTTCTTCTTTGCATTTTTGTTCTTCTTCTTGCTTGCCCGACGCTCGCGGTTAGCCTCCTTCACAGACTTGTGGTATTCCCTCCGCTCCTCCTTCGTCATGCCAGCAATTGTGCGGGGCGGTGGCCGAAGCGACGCCTTTTTCGCCCCCTCTTCGCCCGCGTCTCCACCGCTGCCACTGCTGCTGCTTCCGCTGCTGTGGCTGCCACCCACGCCGACCTCGTCCCGGCCACTCGCGTCAGATTCCGACTCCTCCTCCTCTTCAACGTCGGAGGCTCCCTGTGCGGGAAGGTGCGGCCGCGTGGCAGGAGACGCCGTCAGCTCGGCGACGAACGGGGCAAGCTCAGCATTTACCGCCTTGTGGTCCGCGACATCGCCAAGCGTCCGTGGAACGGCGATGTTCAAAAAAACCTGCTCGTCTACCTTTGCCTGTTCCGCGTTCACAGACGCAACGCCGTCCTCGCGCCCCCTCTGCTCGCGGAGCTCCAGCAAGTGCTGGCGAATCTCCTCCACGTTGTCGGGGCCATCGCAGCGCTGCCAGCCGTTCGGAGCAGGAGCGGCAGTGATGAACCTGTACAAGTCCTGCGGGGAGAAAAGCTGCTGGTGGCCCTTGGAACGAAAGAAGGTGTTCACGTTCACGATGTCCCGCCTCAAAAAGTCCATCGCGTGCGGGTGGTCGTTCTCCACGGACTGCGACACGTCTATCACGACCACGCGGCCCCTATAAAACAGCAGGTTGTACTCGGAGAGGTCGCCGTGGATGAGTCGGCAGCGGCCGTACATCTTCCGCAGGGTGCAGCAGATGTCCAAATAGCACCTGTCAAGGGCGCCAGCGGAGGGGAAACGGACTTCCTTCAGCCGCGGTGCAGGCCAGCCGTCCTCGCCAAGAAACTCCATGATAAGCACGTGCTGGCGCAACAACTTCACGGCGGGCGCCAACACTCCACCGTCCTGAAGGCGATTTAAGTTTCGTGCCTCCTTCTCCGCCCAGGTCCGCACCATCTTTCGTGGGTTGCTCTTGCAGTACCGCTGGAAACGAAACTCCCCCGCAACGTACTTTTCGCGATCCTTAAACACAAGAATCGACGTTTTGAACACCTTCACCGCCGCATCACTCCCATCACCCGCGACGGCGTAGTATACATTGGCCTCCTTGCCCGTGGAAACGCAGCCGTTAATTTCCTTCAGATGTCCACCGTTGACAAGCTTGTAGAGAATGAGGCGGGTCCGGGGATCCATGACATTCTCCACCGTCGCCCGCTCCGACCGGTCCACATCCTTCGAAGACTGCGCCGTCATAAGCCGGTTCGACATGGTCATCTCACGGAGGTCGTTTAGAACTCGCTGATTCGCCACGTTCGCTCCGCCAGCGCCCCCTGAAAAAGAAGATGCATCCACGTAGAAATCATCCACACGTATGCGTCTCAAAACACTCGCATGTGTAGTGGTGTGTTGCGCGGGCTGCATTTTACTCAGCGACGTCGCCTCACGCTGCGCATTTGCGCCCGGCGCGGCCCCCAGCACCACTCGTGACGTGGCAGCGTGCTTCCCTTGCACAACGTCGTACGTCGACGCCTCGTCCCCGCTGTCACTCTCGCCCACAATATCGTCAACGGTGCTCCCGGGCGCCATGTACTGCAGGAGCTCCTGCAACTCCTCCACGCGTGAAGACATAAATGCGTGGATTAACCAGCCCACTACTTTTTTTTCAACTGGCCAACACTTTCAGCTGCAACAATTCCACTTGCATGAATCACAAACAAAACCACAAAAGATGACCACAAAAAAAAAACAATAAAACAAAACCGGACAACAGAACCCACATCCATCCAACAGTCCGCACGCAGCCAATCAAAAGACAAACGAACAAACAGAAAAACACACAAACACAAACCCCGTGAAGCGAAGCCGAAGCGTGGGGCACCCACCGAGCAGTGGGGACACGCAGCTCCAAGTGGGCCGACCAGCACGCACACACTCCCTCCCTTCCCGCACAGCCCAATCCAGTAAGAAGATGGGAAACAAAGAGGCCGCCCACCGAAAGCAATCAAAACCAAAACAATTGAAATAACTAAAGCAGTTACGGTGCTCTACCCATGCAGCCAAGCAGGACGGCAGCGGCCCCTCAAAAGCAAAATAATTAAAACAAAAAGGAGGACCAACGGGCTGCATGAGTGTGCGTGTATGCATGAGCACATTACGTGTGTGCCTCGTGGGGTGGGGCGAGGGCGACAGTCCGTGCGGGAGGACACACACAAAGAGAGAGAAATATATATATTTAAGCGAAAGGACGAGCTGCGCACCGCTCCCTNACGCCGCCGCCATCGCAGCAGACACCG